AAAACGCGATATTAGCTTAAGATTTAGATATGACATTATTTTGCCAATGTAAAAAGTTTACAATATTTCCCTAACTCTAATATAAAATTTAGCTTAAAACTTTTATTTTACTTTTCATATTTTTCCTCATAAAAACACATATTTATTTATATTATATAGTATATACTGTGAAAATGTTATTGTCAGATTTTAAATCAACAAAACAACATTATCACAATCTGTTGTTGGTCAAGATAAAATTAAGAGAAAGTTTGAGAAATGCTATTTTTCAAGTGTCAATTTTCAAAAATGCCATCTTTTTAAAAATTTACAAAAATGCTATTTTTTAAAACTTATTTACTCATTATATCATTTATGTTTGAGTTTAACTATGTTGTATTAGAGTTTAGTTTTGAGGGCTTAGAGTGTGTTAGGGGTCAAAACCTTTTTTAGAATTTAAAATGGTTAGATTTAGGATTTAATTAGTGATATTTTTGCAAATGGACAATCCATAGTGACATTTTTGACAATAGACACACCAAAATTGATATTTTTGCAATTGCCTCTAAAATTAAATACCGTTATCCTCTATATATTAATAGAGGAGATATTAAGTGAAAATCCTAGGTGTCATCCAAAGAGGATTTTAAAAAATATTTAAGGAAAGCTATTAAAAATTTTTAATAACATTATTGTGTAAATAATTATACTAAATTTATATTACATATACAATATATAACTATTCAACAAATATGGAAGCAAGAAATATGTGATAATTAATATGAAAGATTTTATTTAATAAATATAAAGTATATGTGAGATTATCTTTTTTTTTTCAATGACTACTAGATTTTTTTGATATGCGTTAAATACGGGATTATAATATTAAAAAAAAAGTCATGATTTTTTTATATACGGGAAAAATTAAAAATAACAAAGATATATCTCCAATATAGATAAATATATTTTATCTTACAAAATTTAATTTGCATGATACTTAGACTAAATGCAGATAATTTTTTAGAAWTGCRACTTTTCAAAAATGTCATCATTTTGAAATTTTTTTTATGATGCCACTAATCCTCTATATATTAATTGAATAGACATTTGGTAAAAAAATCATATGTATTATTCAATGAAAATTTTAAAGAATATGTCATTTAAATTAACTAATAAAAATATTTTAATTAAAATTATATGTTATGGTGGAAATCTCTATATGTTTTATTAATTTTATAACTTAAACCCATTAATATATTTTTGAAAAAATTGTCAAAAATGTCATTTGTTTGGCAAAATCTTTAAAAAATGCCATTATTTTTGAATCTTTCAAAAAATACCATAAATCACTATTCATGATTTGACAACTCAC